TGGTTCGCGGCAATGTAACGCAATATAACTAAGTAAAATATTCGGTTATGCGACCTACCGCCCTCCGCCAACTTCAAAACAAAGAGTGGGCAATACTTTGGCCGCAGAGCATTGTGGTCATCAAAGACGAGTCGGAGAAGGAACAGAAGGTGGCGCGGCGCGACAAGCAGGGGGAGTTTTGCCTGTCGCCATCCGCTAAACCAGCGCAAGCAAACGCCGAGACACCACATGAGAAAAGGGTCGATGGAAAGGTCGCCCGGCCTGTGCGCCGAGAGCGAGTGGCCATTCGAATCCGGGCGGCAGGAATCACAAGACAGAGGCAAAAGAGAAGGAGGGCAAGTGCCCGTTCAAGCATTACCCCATGAAGGTTACATTTTTCGCTTGTACATCGAGAGGAGGAGGGGGGCAGCGCATTGCGATATTCACGGATATGTTCTAGCATCATGCCTATTCGAGCTGATCCTTGACAAGATTGCGCGCCCACGACCCGCAAGTGTGATATTATTTGAGTGCGTGGCGGCATGGGAAAGGTTTCGACCGTTTCTGGCGGGGCGTCGCTGCCGTCGATTGAAACGATTATTCAGCGTTCCAGCGACCACGAACCGGAGCAGAACAATCAGCATATGACAATCGTCCTCAAAGCGCGCGCGGGTTTTCACTTGATGATCGCCTCGAGGAGCTCATCCACGAGGCATATTCCATAGAGTGGAACATTCCCCTCATCGGACGAGACTTGGAGAGAGGAGCCTCGAGAACACTTCCATTTACGAGGGGGGCATCTATTCGCGGCATCTCGCGGTGTGTCTGGCAGCCGCGAGGTGGCCATTCTTATTCGCAAGCGTTGGCAAAAACAGATGCAAGTATTTTCTGCAGCTGCTGAGCGCACTGCGTATGTCGACCTTGTCCGTTGGGGGCTGAGGGTGAAATTCATCGCCGCCTCGCCGCCTGCTTTCCGGGTTCTGGGCGCGCCGACGCGCGCGTGCAGGAGGTTCAGTCAACGTTGGAATAATTGCGTTTGGATGCAGTTCGAAAGAGACCGGAGTGTTTTTCATCAGGGCGGATTTCAGTGCGCAAGTGGCCAGTTGGACAGCGGCGGGCGACGCTGGAACGATCGGGCGCCGTGGTTGCGGCATTATGAACTCCAGAGCGAAGGCTTGATCTACGCGTGAAAACATGACCATTGCCAGCGCCTGCGCCCCCAAGAAACCACAGCAGCGTTCTGCATGGCGCAGCTCATCTGGGAACGAGACGCAGCGCGATTATAGATTAATGGACTGGCGTTCATGGCGGCATGCGACGCGCGCAGATGCTCGAGATAACATCGATTTGGGCCTTGACCACAGGGCCGCCCGCGCGGCGGCTGCGCGCGAGATGCGACCGAGAAGGCGGCATTCAACAAAACGTCGGAGTGGATGCGTTCAGTGGAAAGGGGTTGATTCGACGAAGTTCACGCGCGGAGCTAGACGCAGTGTTGGCATCTATCTATGACGAGCAGACTGAGGATCCCACGTTAAATGCGGCATCCAAGGCAGAAGTTGCAAAGGCCCCACAAACCACTGCCGCCCAGCCAGCGAGCTCCATTCTTCGACGCCTTCTCGAGCGTCGCAGGCGTCTTCGGCGCGATTCTGGCGAACGGGCCGGCGCGGGCAAGAAGGTCGAGCAGGAACTTCGAAGATTGCACCGCTTTGGGATCTAAGGGGCGGGTCGCGGAGACATTGCGGCCGGGTGAATTCTTGGGAAGCGCGCCCGTGATAAAACAGCATTTTTTTATACATATGTATATATATATATATAGAAAAAAAAACGCAAATTTATTGATTCCATGGTGGGCCCCGAGGGCGCGGATCACATGGGCACGCAACCCATCGGCAGTGCATTTGCAGATGTTCATTCTGAGTTGACGCGTCCGAGCTGTCCACGCATCCACGTGGAGAGGCGCCCCGAGCATGCGACGGGGACATCGAGCCGCTGCAAAACATAAACTAGTTGCCGCGGAAGGTGCAACGACACTTCAGGCATTGTTGCTGAGGTGATCAGAGACGGTGGCGGCGCGCCGGTGCAAGCCGTCCCGGAGCTGTTCAAGTCCTTCCCGGCCCATCCGGTTACGACGCTAGAAAATGGGAGGTTTCTGCGGCATCGGCGATCTTCAGGTCAGGCGACCCGAAACATCTCAGCAATTGCAGGCCCATCACTATACTTCCTATATCATATACACTCTCTGCCCAAATCAGTTCTCACGCACTTGAGTCATGATGAGACAAAGCAATATCTGGATCATGCCCGTTTTCGGCGCGGGCTCAGCACGGTGGGCCATTCATGGGCACGTTCGATGCTACAAGAAACGGCTTCGAGCTCATGGTTTCCAGCAGTGGACTTCAAGAAGGCCTTCAATAGCTCTGAACACGCAGCAATTTGGACTGCGTTGAAAGCACTAGGGGCGCCCGCCGGCTACATCCGTTTAGCATCGTGCACGCGCGGAGGACAAACCGCTCAAGCACGCGCAGCCCGCGCGAGCAAGCAGTGCAATCTACGACGCGGCACTAACCAGGGCGACCCCTCGAGCTCGCTGCTCCTCAGCGCGGTGCTTGAGGACGTGTTCAGGGAGGTGAAGGACGCAGTGTTCCGTCGCGGGTTTGGTGTCCCGCTGGGCTTCGCAGGCGTCGCTTACTTATCCCACCTGCGGTTCGCGGGCGACGTGCTGCTTGCTGCAATGTATCATGCGAGTTTGAAGCAGATGTTGGCTGGCCTCATTACTTCTGCTTCTGACAGGGGCTTGTCTCTGCACCCAGGAAGAACAAAGGTTCCGGGCACCCTCGCAAAGAGGACCGGCAATATATCTTGATATACACGGACGCATGCGGTCTGGATATCGAAGCAGCACCATTGAGCGGCAGCGCGAAGTGCCCCGGGAGGAAGTTGGCCTACTAAGGCCCCGGTGACGCAGACATGGGCACCCGAATCTCGGCGGGGTGGAAAAGTTCATGGTCTATAAGGGTGAGTTCACAAGGAAGGAGCATCCTGAGCGCGATCGCCTGAAGCTTTTGGTCACCGCGGCGGGGCCGACTGCGTTGCGCGGGGCTGCCTACTGGGCAATGGCGAGCCCAACTGAAAGCATTCTGCAACTTTGCCAGCGACGCACGCTGCGCGATCGCGGGGAGGGGGAGGAAACGAGCACATACACGCACCAGTCTAGGCGACGCTGTCCAACCGCGGGTGGACTGGGCCATGCTATCCGCCAGAGAAGCGGAATCAAAGATGGTCGAGTTGAACGTTGACGTTCGGGTCGTGGTGCAAATGAAAATGAAAATGGGCATGGGCGCAACAAGCGCAGCAAGCGTCGTCGAAAGCGCGGCGAGGGATTGCTGCATAATGGGGGCCTCAGTGCGCGCCGATGTCTCAGGGGAGACCTAGAGCTCGTTTGTCTGATGGTATTCAAAAGTTCTCATCGTCGAAAGGGGCCCGAGACGCGTGGTGCAAGTGCGCCGGGGGCCGGGGTTCATTCGAATCGGAGTCCGCGCGCAGGAGCGGCGCACGAGGGCTGCGGCCCCTGCGCCTTGCCCCCCGCGGGTCGGCTTTCTAGGCCGGAAACGGCGCGCCTGCCTGCCTGCCTGCTTGCTCGTCCAATGTAGTTGAGGCCGTGGATGAGGCGTGGTTCGCCCTTGCTGGCCTCCTCGTGCAACGGCCGTGCACTTGCGTGGCTGCAAACCGCGGCGCGCGCGGCTGGAACGCACGCGTTCTGCAACGCATGCACTCTGGAACGCGCGCCGTGCCTGACTGGAACGCACGCGCTGGTTGGTAGCGCGCGGCTGGAATCCGCGCCGTAGGCGGCTGGAACGTCTGCGCTGGGTATTAACCGATGGATCCCACGGCGCGGGTGGCTTGAGCGCTCGTGTTGGGTGAAGAAATTGTATAGCTGAAACCCAGGGCGTGGGCGGCGTGAACGTTCGCGCTGGGTAAATATGCGTGGCTGAAACCCACGCCGTTGGCGGCTGGGACATGGTGCCTTGTGCAAATCGAGGCCTAGAGCCCGCATCGTCGGCGGTTGGTTTGCTGTACTTTGTAAAAAAACTGGAGGCTGGAACCCGCGCCGTGGGCAGCTGGAACGTTGTCCGTGGTAAAGTTTGAGGGCTGGAACGTATCAGTCTTGTTGGCATGAGCGGTTGGTCGGTCGGTCGGTTTGATCGTCTCGGTCGGTAGGTCGGTCGGCCCGTCGGTCGTCGTCGTCGTCGGTCGTCGTCGGTCGTCCTCGTCTCGGTCGGTCGGTCCGTCGGTCGTCGTCGGCGATCGTCGTCTCAGTCGGTCGGTCGGGCGGTCGTCGTCGGGCGTTGCATTTTCGGTTGGTTGGTCGGTCGGTCGGTCGTTCGGTCTTGTATTCGGCCGTCGGTCCGTCGGTCGTCGTCCTCGTCCGTCGTCGTCGTCTCGGTCGGTTGGTCGGTCGGTCCGGTCGTCGGTCGTCGGTTGGTCGGTCGGTTTTCAGTCGGTCGTTGTCGTCGGTCGTCGTCGTCTCGGTCGGTCGGTCGGTCTAGTCGTCGTCGTCGTCTCGGTCGGTCGGTCGGTCTGCCTGTCGTGGTCGTCGGTCTTGGTCGTCTCGGTTGGTCGGTTGGTCGTTCCGTCGTCGTCGGGCGTCGTTGTCGTCGTCGGTCGTCGGTCGGTCGGTCGATCTGTCGGCCTGTCGGTCGGTTTGTTCTCGTCGGTCTGTTCAACGAGATCCCACAGCCAGCAATAATCCACGGATTGCAGGTGGACCGCGCTCTGGCGCGTAGGTGAGCGTCCGTCCGTCCGTATCCTACTTGTTGTTCCTCGTTGCTCTTTCATTCTCCCTTTTTTGACACCTTTTATCTGCTGCTCAATTTCTCCTTCCTTCATCTTTCCTCGTCCTTTTGCTTCCCCCTTCTCGTCCTTGTCCTGTTCTCCTTTGCCTCAGGGGCGGAGGAGGACGAGGAGGAGGAGGAGGACGAGTCCTCACCCTGACTCTCAGAGCTGCTGCCTGGACGGCGCAGGACGAGGGCGAAAACGCGTCCTTCACGCCGGAGGTCATCATCAGCAGAGTTGAGGCATCACCGACCAAACTCTCGGTTGCTGCTGCCCCTCCTCCAGTTGTCCTGCGTTTCCTCCCTCCATCTATCCTCTGGTTTTTTGTTTTTGTTTTTTATTGTTGACTCTCTCTGTCTCTCTCCCTCTCAATCTCCCGATCCAGACTCGATGCATATTTGTATGATTCCGTGCATGGGCCCCCGAAGTATTGGTGCGTTCTCGTCGTCGAAACTCGTCGGTACAAACTATGCGGAACAATACATGTAGAACGCGATGTGGCGCAAGTGCTCCACAACCGATGCGGCTGCGATGGCGCTTACCAGTGTCAACGTTCCACCGCGTGTCAAAGGCCACGCTGGCGCGCGGGCACTTTAATGCGGGTCCGTGGATCGGGTGGGCAAGGTCTCATGGAGGTGGCGGCAACAATGATGAAGATGATGATGATGATGATGATGATGATGATGATGATGATGATGATGCTGATGATGATGTTGATGATGATTATTATTATGATGATGAGGATGAGGATGAGGATGATGATGATGATGATGATTATGATGATGATGATGATGATGATGATGATGATGATACTGATGATGATGATGAGGATGAGGATGATGATGATGATGATGATGATGATGATGATGATGATGATGATGATGATGATTATGATTATGATGATGATGATGATGATGATGATGATGATGATTATGATGATGTTGATGCTGATGCTCATGCTGATGATGATGACGATGATGATGATGATGATGATGATGATGACGACGATGATGATGATGATGATGATGATGATGATGATGATGATGAAGTCAATGCACCCCGTCCGCACCAGCAATCGTTCGCCCTGCCTGCTCTCTCCCCTTGCGCGCGCTGTCTGCCGGCTGTGCTGATTGACTATTTCTGCTCTTGCAGCTATACTACTCTGACTCTAGGGGAACGGAAAAAAGGAGCGAGCCTGCGGCGCGCGCGCGTGCGTCGGCCGGCGGGCCGGCCTCCTCCCTTTAGTGCTACCTTAGTGTATACTTGACGGCACTGTCCCTTTTTACCCATGTCATCAGCGCAGCCAACTGACCAGGATTTACTTTCGGTACACATAGCAGGGATTACGAATGATCAGGCAAAAATACTGGTTACCGAAACGACGGCACAGCTGTTTGCTTCGCAGAGCATGGAGACGCAAGAAGGAGCGCTCGGACGAACACAAGGCCGAATACCTTCCGAGCGCAACGAAAGTATAGGCGCCTCGACGAGGCGACACAATCCTCTGTACCTTCCCAGAAAGAAAGCACCAGTGACTGCGTTTGACCTCGCGGAAATGGATTCATCGGTTGATTCAGTGACAAGGTCCAGAGAACAACATTCGAGCGGAAGGTGTAACACAGCCGAAACTTCCGCCGAGGGACCATTTGAGTTGGTGTCTGACACCCTAGCTTTCAGCCGTCGGTCGAAATAGATCCCGAGATGGAGAAGTTATTGGATCACATCCCCATCGAAATGTCGGGCGCCGAACGCCCGGGCGCAGAGCGCGCGGCGCAGCATGCGCTGCGTGGGCAAAGTGAAGCTGTGAGCGATTTACAATCTGAAGGGGGTGGCTCCCATTCTATAGAAAAGAGCGAAGAATATGCCCGATTCCACTCCTCGCCTGGTCCATCGCGCCATGTCGATCCTCTCCCCGACCGGTGTGTCGGTCTCGCCCTTGAACGTATAACGACTGAGGCAAGTCAGAAAGCCACCCTTGATTCGGACGATGACCTCGAAGACGGAGGGGGCCCAGAGCCCAGAGCAAGGCGGGCGTTCGTCGGCGCGGCCGATGTCGAGCTGCCCCGACGCAGCGCGCGCAGTGAAAAATGCGCGAGAAAGTGCAGGCATGGCCCCCCATCCGCTGACGAAGAAACCGAAGGGTGAGGACGATGACTTGGGCATCTCGCGCTTACTGCAGGGCTTTTTCAGAGCGGGCGTCTCATTGCCCAGGGCAAACAGAGATAGGGCACCATACTTTATGGGCCCGCAATGCAGGACGGAAGAGACGACTTAGCAAGGAACATGGGCACCATCAAGAGAGGCGCAATAACGAGAATAACACGCGCCTACTCCCAGCAGTGAAAGGGGGCGCTCCAGCAAGGCCCCCAGGGCCGGGCGCTCCAGTTCCAGGGGGGTTAATGCCGTTGGTCCGCCGCGAACGTCATCGAATGCAACCGCCGGCGGCTTCTCGGCGCGGGGGGGCCGCTGGCGCGCTGGGCCAGCGCGCCCCGCTCGGGCGGGGAATCGGCGCCCGGGGAAGGCGCGCAAACCGGGGGGTTCGGCGCCCCCCCCCCCCTCCTCCTCCTCCTTCTCCCCCCCCTCCCCCCCCGCCTCCCCGATGTCTTGCCCCCCTCCTCCTCCTTCCCCTCCCCCATCCACAATTGCATTGTATGCGTGCTGCTCCCCCTCTTCCCCTGATGGCGGTTTGAAAGTGGCCGACCCCCCCCCGCGCTTTTTTTGCACGCAGGTTTCCCCGGAGTTGGGTTTTCGCTTGCGCTTGTTTCCAAAATGCTGCTCTCGCTGAGGCGCCGGCTTCATTTTCGGACCCCGCTCGTTCCGGATCGTGCTCCCGCTGCAGCGCTGGCTTCATTTCCGTGCTTCCGCTCGTTCCGAATCGCGCTCCCGCTGCAGCGCTGGCTTCATTTCCGAGCTTCCGCTCGTTTCGATTCGCGCCCCCGCTGCAGCGCTGGCGTCATTCCCCGTGCCGTGCCACGGCGTGCAATGCAATGCTAGGTTGATGCTGCGCTTTGCGGTGCTCTTCTACGCCATGCCACGCCGTGCTCTACAATGCGTCGCGCACCATTTCGGGACCATTGCCCTGCTCGCCATCCGATTGAGCGAGTAGAGAGGGGATCTGCGCCATGGCAAGGGATGGGAGAGGGGGTGGGATGTCAGATATGACGCGCGCCCCCCCCCCCCCCCTCCTCTTCTCAGGCTTGCCCCTCCTCTGCCTATGCTGCGTTCCGTGGTTGTGCCACGTTGCGATCTCGATCCAGTTGCGGAGGATGAAGGGGGGGGGGGGGGGGCGAGGGGGGGGCGGAGCAGGCGAGCGAGCAAGCATGCAAGCAAATCTCGCGGAGTCTCTCAGCGGCCCCCTCGACTACGCATATTAGCCGCGGATCGGGTGGATGGGGCCCGATGCAATGCTATGCGCCGAGGACCTGGCCCCTCTTACTGCTCGCCCTGCTCGCCGCGCCGCTGGGGGTCGCGGCGGAGGCGAGAGGCCACAGCTGTCTTGCGCGCAGCCACGCCAGTGGCGCTGGGCCCAAGCAGCTGGAGGGCAGCGGCGCTGAAGCAGTCTGCTTCGTAGGCGCGCGGCCCCTCGACCTCGCGAGGGCGCAGGCCCCGTCGGCGCCTGGCCAGGCTGGGACGGCAGCTCAGGATGTCCACTGCGGGCTAGAGGATTCCGGGGTCAACGGCAACGCATGGAGGTGGAGCTCGGAGGGGGCCGAGGCCTCTGGCTCGCGCAGCGGGGCCCCGCCGCGCCTTGAAGGGCTCCAGGCGACCCACCTGGCTCCCCACAGCCCGGAGGAGGTCAGAGGTGCGGAGCAGCGCATGGGCTCTACGGCGTTCCTCCACCCGTCGGCGCCCACGGACAAGGAAGGCCAGCTGCTCTACCAGAGACCGCGGGTCATTTCCGTCGTGGGCCTGGCCACCGAGACGCTCAGCACTAACGGGGCAGGTCTGGCAGGATATGCTGGTAGCCTCACTGCAGCCAAGCCGCCCAGGCTGGCAACCCTCCGCGCCGCCCCAGGGGGCGGCAAGCCGCTGGGTGAGGCTCGCTACGTCGACGGCGACATCGCGCTGCAGGCCGTGGGCACGGAGCAGCTGGCGGCCGTGTGTTTCGGCAGTGCGGGGCTGGAAGTGGTGCGCCGCATCTGCGCTCAGCACCTGCCCCTCAGCGCTGCCAAGACGTCCTCCCTCGCTTGCCGCAGCGCAGGAGCGCTCCCCATGGGCGCAGAGCGAGGGCTGCGCATGCGCTGTAGCGAGCTCAGGAGGAGGCGTAGCCTGGACCCTGCAGCTCTCTGGGCAGGCCACGCAGTTCAGCAGATGGCGGGCCTGCTGCAGGCAGGAGAGCTGCCGCCTTTGCTGATGGAGCGGGGGCTGGAGGTGACGGAGACCAGACACGCAGGAATTGACGCGCCATGGAAGCATTGTGCCGCCCCCCTCGACACTGAGAAGCTGACCCGTGCGTGGATCGGTTGGCACTTCAAGTCTGAGCAGTGCATGGTCGCGGGCCTCGGCGACGAGCTCGACCTCATGCACCGCGGGCCCCGGGAGCTGGGCTGGGAGGCTGGCCCAGGCGCTCGAAGTGCATCCTCTCGTCGCGAGATGCGGAAGCTCAGCCACGGCACCTGCCTGCTGGAGACCTGCATCTCCAACCCGCGCTGGACGCAGGCCAGGGCCCTCGATGCACGGGAGCAGGGGCAAGCGCGCTGCAGCGGAGCAGAGAGAGACACTTGGTTGCACCGCCAGCAAGGCAGCCCTGTGCACGAAGCCCACAGGCGCGGCAGTGGCAGCAGGCTGCTTGCGCGCAGGCCGCCGCAGGGTCGCCGCGCCGACGCCATGGGGGCGCGTTGTTTCCGCAGGCCGTCCAATGAGAAGCTCAGCGGCAAGCTGTACCTCGACGGCGCGACGCTCGAGCCGCTGTGCGGCGGCCTTCGCTGGGAGGGCGGAGCCATTGCGCACCGCGACGGCGGCGGCAACCTGGTGGCAGAGGTCTGCGAGGCAGACGGGCGAGACCGCTGCCCGCAGCGGACGGCCACGCACGGCGAGGGCGTGGAGGCATCGATGCTCGCCACCCTCGCTAGGCCAGCAGGGGGGGAGGTCAGCATCGACTGTTCTAGGCATGCGGTGCTCGGCGGGCGCCTGGCGGAGGCCCAGAGGCGAGACATCGAGCGCGCCGACCGCCCTGCCCTGACGAGGGCCCAGATGCACGCAGTGGACAAGCTGACCGTTGGCGTGCACCAGGCGCAGGCGG